TTTCTAAGGCCGGTGGTACAGCTGATTATTATTGCACATCTTCTGTTGCATCACTTGCATCATGGTTTCATATTATTCCCAACAGCCTTTGCCACTGTGCTGTGTATTATTAGATTCTCAGCTATGTTGCCTCCCGTCTGATTTACTGCTTTTGGTGTAAAAAGTCTTCCATGACCTAAACCTGCTCCTTCCTCTCTCACTTTTCTTTAGGTTTCATTACAATGACGCCGCAGCTATTCATCAACTACAAAATGAAGTCTGTGGCCCACCTCCCATGGAGGATGCTCACCTACAAGGCTCTTAATACCTTTATTGATGACCTGTTTGCCTTCGTCATCAAGATGCCCATGATGTACAGGATAGGATGCCTCAGAGATGGTACGTCTTCTCTGAACCAGACGTTGATGTTTTGCATTTTTCAATGAATTTAAGTCAATAATCACCCAATCGAAACCAAAAGCTATTTTGTAAAGTTCCTTTGGTCACCATTTTTAGTTTGAAGTTTGAGAGGAGTAAAAGTAGGAGGACAATTTATCCTTAAAGATTTGGATGGTCCTTCTGTTCAGAGGAACTGTAGAACCATTGTCACTCATACATTGTATGTTATCTAACACCAAATCACCACTAGTCTGCGATGACTGTCACTTTTTACTGGAAGGTCATTATCTCAGTATATGCTTGATGAAGATTAATAGTGGCCGCAATTATGATTGGTTTAATAATGTGAAAGCTCCCAAGTTGTAAATTTGGGAAACACATTTTTACCTAAACTATGCCGATGTTGATACAGCTGACGTCATCTTGCGCTTTGACAGAATTTGGAGCCAGATTCTGTGCAGTAGTGATCGTGGTACACACACACACACACACACACACACACACTCGTGGGTCAGCTTCAGCTGTCAATCATGACCTTTCACTTTGATTTTATAGCATCCATTAACTAATTAAAATCATATTGGAAATATGAACACCTGAACATAAATCACTGTGAAAAGAACTACCTCAAATGTCATAAACCATCTTTTGAAGAAATGTGTTCAACATGCACTTTGACATTTTAGTTTGGTCCCTTCTGCTAATATTGAGGAGGCAAAATGTATGACTTATACTGCAGCCAGCCACCAGGTAGCGATCAAGATGATATAGTTTCACTTTTGTGGAGCTGGTATGTTGCCATCCTTACGTGCAGTCTGATTTTTACAATGAATTGATAATAAAATGTTATTTAATTATTTGGCTAAAATCAATTTCCTCTTCTGCAGATGTGGTGTTCTTCATCTACCTTTACCAGCGCTGGATCTATCGGGTAGATCCCAACAGGGTCAACGAGTTTGGCACCAGTGGAGTAGACCAGAACAAGACAGCGGCAGCAGACGGTGCTCCTGCAGTAGAGGGTGCTCCTGCAGCAGACGGTGCTCCTGCAGCAGACGGTGCTCCTGCAGCAGACGATGAACCTGAAGTAAACGATGATCCCGCAGGTGATGCTCCTGCAGCGGCTGCCCTCACAGACAAACCAGAGGGGGAGAAGAAGAACGATTAAGCAAGACCACGCCCTCACTGCCGGGGCAAAGAGGACTTGTGAAAACAAGGCAGGGAGGGGCGTCATTGTTTAGCTGTCATGGACACCGCTACAAAAAAAGATGCAGTTCAACTGTTCCCTCTGATTTCTGTGTGGATCCACAGAGAATCATATTCAGTGTAGACTTGGTAAATTCTTATTTCTGTTTCCTGCCCATTCCTGCCCTCTCGTTTTGCGGTTCAAGTGAAGTAAAACAAAACGTGTTGTACTGTATTCTGTTTGATTTCTCAGAGGGTAACGGTGTCTTGGAGTAGAGGTTGGGAGGGGAACGGGTCGCAGTTATACTATACCTTTCTTTTTTATACAGGGAAGAAAGAGGCCAAGTGCAACTTTTGTTATTTGTGTCGATTCCTTGTGAACTTTTCTTTTCATTCCATGTGAGCACCGTGTTTCCGATCGCCTGGAAAACGGTGAGTAGTGCGGGAGGAAAACTGGAAAGGTCCTGAGCCATGGTGGGGGATGAAAATGGGAGGTGACTGGAGACGAGACGGACGACCCTATAGAACACTACCCACAAGAAAGTGACTACTATCCTCAATTTTAAACAAATGGTTAATGTTCTTTACTTGAACACAAAAAATAACAGCCTTGTTGGTATTAATATAAATATATTAATATTGTCAATGACTTAATTTTTGTTTTTCGGTCACTTAAGCATTTTTTTGTATGTCCTCAAACTGTACAGAATTTCAGCTTGTCATGTTAATAATACAGATGTCAAAACTGTCTAGCAATACCTAATTTGCGAGTTTAATTTTTAATTTTCCCCCTCGGCTGGATGCTTGATTTTCAAATGTTTCACGCTCCGAGCCAAATCACCTGAACGGTGGAGACAGTCAGGTGTGTGCTGGAACAGTTACAGTGTCTCTTGTTGTTGAGTTCTGTAAAATCCTGAAACAGAGGGTTTGATGTTGGTACATATTAAATTTTGAGCATTCATGTTTATAGTAAAACTTAAGTGTGATTTAAAATGTCTATGCAAAGATTTGTTTATTTTTACTGTGTTGACTTTTTAGTGCTTTTTGAGTTCGAGAACAGACTTTTTGCATGAAACCTTATATTTTTCATGCTGATTTTTATTGATGTTAAGAGGAAATACAGTTTGTGTGCTTATGCGTCATGCGCCTTATGTGGTTAGGCTTTTGTACTCCTCAGTTTTATCATTAGTCAAGGCTCGAGTCAAAGGCTGCAGCTAATGACATTTTCGTTGTTATTTTCCCTGGTTAATTGTTTTTATTTAAAAATGACAGAAGATTATGTAAAGTGATGACTTCAGAACAAAAGTCTTTAAGGTCAGATATTCAGTTTACAAAGGAATAACAAATGAGATGGAAACTCATTCAATCGGTTGAAAAAAGGAAATATTTACTTTTCTTGTTCACAAAAACAGGCCCAAATAGTTAACTTTGAAAATAGTTACATTTATATAATAGTTTATTATCCTGTGATTGAAGCTGGTTAATTTCAACTGCTGATTATAGGTTATATTATCTGTGGAAAGATCAGCAACTTGGAGTAATGCTGCGACAATATACTAAATACAATAGTTGTGTCTATAATCATTTAACCCTTTCAGAAATATGACTTAAAAGTGTATAATATAGGTTGCTATGGTTAAATAATGGTAGTTTAGATGAGGGATGTGAGGCCAAATGTGTTTGCTCTCACCTATGCAAATGATGCTTCTACCAGGTGATAGGGTGCAGGTGTGGACAATATCACTTTACTTTTTAGATACTTTTGAATTGGTCAGTTAAGGCATCACAACAATGAAAACTATGGTCGTACATTGTCAAAGAGACAATCAATAGTAATACTAGATTTGTTGATCTCTCCAAAAAGAGGCCACTTTCCTTCTTGAGGCATCCATAGAAACACTGATGATATGAGTCTAATACACTATGACAATCAGGAACCTGAACCTTTCTTCATAGACTGAAGATGCACAAAATACTACACACAGCTTGCCATTTTTATCACTTTGCTGTGGTTTTTCTACTTTGTCTTCATTTTGAGTGTCGGTCATCTCTTCTTTTTAGTTGTTATAGATCTTTTTCTAGTTCTGTTAAGTGTCTGTCAGTTTGAATCTCATTTTCCAACCCGGTATGTTCGTGTTGTACACAGATCATCCACTACTTGAAAACCTGTGACAGGTTTTTATGTAAAGTATTTTTTGCTGAAAGACTTTCAAACAAATATGAACAAGGATCCCCTGATTACTTGGTTGGTCATTAGTAGCACTTTTATAAAAAATTGAAAATGCAGAATCATAGCATCCAGTAGTGTCACACCCCTAGATGCAGCTGGGAGGATTTTTACTGCTTCCTCTAAACACTTCATCTATTAGTTTCCATTTCCCTTAAATCGTCTGTTCTCCATGGGAACAGCAGGGGTCACTGCAGCACCACATAACTTCAGAAAACTGGAACCAAGTTTTATTAAGAGCAGTTACAAAATCGTGCAGGAAGGTTGTTGGTACAGATTCAGATCTTCAATTAATCATAAAACCAGCAATTCCCACTTCACTCTCAGTAATGAAACAGGAGTCGCAGCAGGACGGTGACATGATGCAACCAGGAGAAATCCCTCATTGCTCTATAGCTGGAAAAAAAACTGACATGTGCAGTAGATGTTTTGGATGGAGGCTCATTTAAATAGATGCTGATTTTCGCCATATTCAGTGAACCTGAGTTTAAAAAAACAAATGGTTGTTTGGCTTAGAAAATCATTTTCATTTTGTGGGTCCTGTTGTTATTAGAGATGAAGCTGTTGAATATTCAAATGAGTAAAAAAAACTACACGTGTCCTGATGAAGCTGAAGACAGGTACCGGGTTGGGGGGGGGGGTTCCCGTCAGAGAGGTGACGTGGTGACGTCGAGGGGATTTCCACATCCTGAACCAGCCAATCACAGCCGGGCCTGCTGCGGAAATGCTCCAGTGAAGCACTGATCAGACATCATCATCCAGGACGTGTTTTCAAGTTTCACACAGAGTCGCAGGCGGCTGCGATCATCCAGAGCGGCTGTCTCCTCCGAGTAGACTTTACCCGAGCAGAGGGGACGAGAGCAGAGGATCTACCCGAAGAGAGGCGAAGATTTGTGGGAAGAAAGTCAACGAACACGACGGCTGAGTTGATGTTTTTTGAAGGACCGATCACATGCGATGAAAGACATGGACATCTTCACTGCTTCCTCTGGTTAGTGTTCATGTGTTTGTGCGTGTGTGAGAGAGGTGACATCATCCTCGGGCATGTGATGTGTCGGAGGAGCCAACACCCATTCCCCGGGATCAGAGCTCCCCTCCCCGGCTCCTTCTCTCCCTCCGTGCTGCGCCAACATTCACGTGTTGTGTTCACTGACTGTTTGTTTTCTGTGTTTGTCCTGCAGACCGAGGCCTGTCAGACTTCGGTGAGTCGATCCTCTTGTATTTGTTAGAGTCCTCGTGTGTGAGGCCTCCGGCAAGGAGAAGTGAACATCGCTATGTTCCTGCTTCGTAACACAACAGCTACAAAACTACAAAATACAAAACACAGCAGCTTCAAAAATTCTTTTCATTCTTGCATTTAAAGCTAAAATCACATTAATCATTCATTACAGTTGAATTGAATGGGTTATCATCAGTGTGAACCTATAAAATGTCAGAAACCCAATCATCTTTGTTGGCAGGTTGTATTTATTATGATTGCAGTTCAAGTTAAAGACCTATATAAAATATTATATCAAGATAAACATTTTCATATCAGTCGATATCCAACATTTTCATGATAAATGTCACATTATTATTTCTTCTATACGTTTAAAGACAGATTTCTGCTCCTGACTGAAGGTGTTGTGGTTTTAAACTCTTGTTGATTAACAGAGAATGACAAACACTTATAAGTATGAGGTACATCAATGATGTGTTATTCCTCCTCACTGTGCTGACACAATGTGTAAGCAACAGATATTGAAATGTGTTATATTGCTGTTGATAAAATCATTATGCAATTATTATTGTTGTATTGCCCAGCACTACTCAGACATATTTCATTACATTCATGTTTAGTATGAGAATAACAAAAAGTACTCCATATTCCCCACATGTTCTTAAAAGATAACTTACGTATTGGGGATTATTTATATTAATAATTATTGCTTAATACACTTCTGGTTTCTGTTGTGATTACTTGACTACATGACTACTGCAGCAGGAAGTGTCGGTCACACTTGAATAAAAAGCTCCATTTAGACTGCCAGGTGAATTTAAATGTGTGGGACCATGGCAACAAGACTTTGTTTACTGTTTAACTTTCCCTGGTGGACTCATCAGGTACACCTACTCGATTTACAGTACAACATTTTCAGTGCTTGTGTAAATGGAGTTGTATGAGTGTTTCCATTTTAAGCCACTCCACATGTCTACTACACATATCAGAAGGAAATGGATCCATATCAACAACTTAAGAAAATGTAACAGTGTAATCAAAGATTAGAGAAAATGACAAATTAATGAACATACATTTGTTTTAGAACTTTAACTGTTTGATGACTACTCTGAATAAACTGGTGACCCATTGGTGGGGCCTGACCCCAAGCTTGGGAACCAATGCACTAAACTAGAAGAATAAAATTAAAAAACTTCAGGACAAACGCTTTAACATAGATTTTAAATGCAGTTTGCAACACTTCTTTTAATAGAGTATTATAACAGAGCTGTATTGGTACTTTTTGGTGTCGGGCATAGTTTAAGAAAGATAATACTCAACACAAAAGATTAAAAAGCAAATACTTGAGTTTGTCCCATTAATCCACCTGTAGTAATCCTATAAAAACTCAGTCTTGTCTGTTATGATGGTTTTACACTTTATTTCACCAGTCCATGAATCCTAGTTTGTTTACAAATGATTTCCTGAAAAGTTTCCTGGGAAAGTTCATATGAAATGGTTAAAAAAAAACAGTAGAACCAACATGGTTCTATTTTGGAATTTTCCAGGAAATTATTAAGAAATTATGGATTACCTGTCATTATATAACTAGATGTTTAGCCAAACCTTAATAATAACATAGATTTGTTTTTATGTAAACTAGAGTTACATGTGTGTTTGCAGTAATTTTCATCATCAGTCATGAAATCTGTATTTGAATAACACTTCTCAGTCAGTGTGAATATACCTTGTTTTTTTTCCATCTGAGATTCTAACCATTCGTCAACAATATTTATTTTCCAATAGAGCTCATTGATGAAATCATCAAACAGGATGGTGAGCAGTCGGCCGTCAGCCTCCCTCGACCTTGTCCCCCTCCCGCCGACCTCCTCCCCCAGGTGCCGCGCAGCCAGCACCTCAGGGTGCACCGACAGAGCTCCTCGCTGGCGTCACAGCCGGTGCTAGTGGCCAGAGGCACTGCACACCCGGTAAGTGGGTACAAAAAGTCATGCTTGGCTGTGTTCTGAAGAGTGGCAGTGTGTGGTTGTGTCTCGACTCGTCTGGTTTCAACCTCAGTTGGTGGTTTGCTCATGGTTGGCAGTTGCAACACCCAACACGTAGGTTTCATTCAGGTGTGGGTGGTGTTTAAAGAAGACAGTAGTGTCCAGTGTAGGTAAAACACAAGACACTGTTTAATACAGTGTCTGCAGGTTGTGGAAAGTACTTTTAGAAATCTATAATCATTCATCCATCCATCCACTTATGCTTCTTGTCCAGGTCGTGTGATGATACTTTTTATATACTATATATATTTTATGCACTTGATACATAATTGTGGTTAGTTGTCACTGATTATGTTAAAGATATTAAACTGCATTCTAATTGTACAGAATGGTTCCTTTTCAAAATGATTATTTGAAATTAACTGTTAAAGTGTTGCTTATTTTAGCTTTTGGCTCAAGAATAAATTACACAGGTCATTTTAAAATTTGGATTCCGGGAATTTTCTCAAATACCATCTGTCAGTGTCGGCTTATATGCAAGTCCAGAAGAAGGAACATTTCTATTAATTGATCTGTGTCTGTATATCACTGTTTAAGTCAGTTATATTCTTGTTTATTGTTCTTAAGGTTGCTGCTAAAAACGTAACAACATTACACTCAGAGGAAGCTTCTGTTTGGATTCCTGGTTTTGTAAAGAGGTTTTCAGAATGATCAAAATCATCTGCAGAGTGGTGCATGTGCAGCCCACAGATGGTTGGGTCTGTTGTTGTTGTGCAGAGCAGTGTTCAGGCAGCTCAGGCTCTGACTGTAAAGCACGTGGTTTCCAGACATGAGGGAGGTCAGAGGTGTTGTAATCTGATGAGTAACTGTAACTGTTGCCTTCACACACGGGTACAAACACATGCAATTCACTCAGAGAAATTAACGCTTTACCAGAAAATGATCAGTATCTGTGTCACTGATACGTTATTGGGAACTGTTAGTTTTAAAGTTATGAGTCATTGTGAGAAGTAACCACGCCTCCCCAGCATGTTCTGTGGGAGGAGGCTGAGGGCGAAGAAGAACGAGCAGGAGTGGCTGGGACGACATGGAAGAACTGTAATCTGACTCCTACTTTCAGTTTGCCGTCCTCTCTGTATACTCGCCAAACCCACTGGGGGTTAGAGGTCGCATTCTTCGCACCACTCTTCTCCTCCTATTGGTCGATCTACGTCAGGTTCTCTCTCCCTGTTTCCTGTTCGCTGGGTCAGTTTGCCAGGCTTTTGTTTAGCTTCCGTGTTTTGAAGGAGAACAGGTATGTCCAGACTATCACGCTAACAAAGCAACGAATACATCTGTGGCCTGACAGGAAACAGTGAAACATGATCTCATGCAGATGCATCATCCAGATCTCTGCAGCAGCGCTTTAATGAGCCCCCGGCCTGGCTTTCCTGCTGCATGGGTGTGAGAGGAGTCAGCTTCTTTACTTCTTTGTTCCCTGCAGGTTTGATCTCTTATCCTTTGTTAAACCACTGCTAGAACAGATGAAAACTTGTTTTATTTTAAGGCCTCTAGAAGCCCTACAGGGCAGGAATGTGTGACTAGTGATGGAGAGAATTTGCAGAGAGAGAAAGTAAAAGTTTGTGTGGGTATGGAAAATAACCTGTGGTGTAACTGAAAGGCCAGAGCACATGGTTTATGCTATGCTCAGATACAAAGCACATGTATGAAGGATAAACTCAGTTGTGCTGCTTTACTGCAGAAAGCTTCTCCTACACTCTCATCTGATACGATGGACGACAAACATCTGCTTCTCTGTTAAAGACTTAAAAAAATGTTCTGTGACTGATCTGTTTTCTCTGATTGTACATTTTCTATATCTGTGGGGAAGCCTCTAGGAGGTACTCAGTTATAATATCGTCAATATTGTCAGCAAAAGTCAAAAGTCAAAGTCAAAATTCTTGCTCACTTATGTATGCACCACTTTACAGTTGTAGCTGGTTTTAACTACTTCATATGTAGTTTGGTAGGTCACCGGTTTCCAGCCTATGGGCCGGGCCCCTCCGAAGGGTCACCGGACAAATCTGAGGAGTTGTGAGATGATTAATGGGAGAGTAAAGAAGAAAGTTTATGGAGTATAGGATCATTGTTTAGACCTCAAAGAGATGTTTAAAAGACTGAAGTCACTTTGGTTGAACTAGATTCAGACAGATATGGATTTTTGGGGGCCAATGCTGATACTGCTATTAGGAAAAAGGAAATCAAAAGTCCAAATAATCCCAAACCCACCATATATTAAGTTAAAGAAAAAGAAAAGCAGGAAATCTTACTTCATTAGATGCTAAAACCTGCAAATATATTTTACTTTTCTTTCACTATTTTTACTTTAAGAATTACTGAAACAATGAATTAATTACCAAAATAGTTGCCTACAATGTTTCTGTTGATTAAACGATTAATTGTTGTAGCTTCAAACAATTTGTACATCGCACATCAACTTCACCTTTTCTAAATCAAACTGATGAGTGTGATGTTCCTGGCAGAATTGAAGATCTCAGTATCTCTGTGGTGAATGACCCTCTTCTAAATTGGGTATATTCTTTGTCTTAACCGTTTGTTCAGTATTATCTGGTGTCTGATTGAATATTATTTGACTTTATCTGTTTGTGCTCAATGGGAATAAAGTTGTGTTTTTGTTTTTGTTTCCTCAGCCGACCTGCACCTTCTCTCCATCCCTCCTGCGGCTCAACAATCCCAGTGAGATGGCGTCAGCTCCTCCTTCGCGGGCCGCCACCTCTCCAGCCGGCTCCTCTCGCTCATGTCAAGGCATTTCCTCTAAGAACCGGGACGACACCGACATGCTGGACCGGATTCTGGAGAAGCCCAGGCTGGTGGTGGTGGAGGAGCCCAAGGACAGAGGCATGAGGTTTCGGTACGAGTGTGAAGGACGCTCCGCCGGCAGCATCCTGGGGGTGTCCAGCACCGACACCAACAAGACTCAGCCTGCGATTGAGGTACAGACACTGTCGAGTCCATCTCTCTATATGCCACGTTAAATGTGGTTTTGGTTTTTGGACTTGAAGGGGATTCACCAGCTCTGAGGGAGAGGCAGGTTTCACCCACAGTTGGGTTGTTTAGGTGTGAACACTCATAGCCCCTGTGCAGACAGTGGAGCTGGGTGGAGCTGAAGAGATGTGGGTTGTTGAAGTCAATTAGAAAGTCCCCACAAATCCAACCTGAAGTGTGGTCAACCACTGGCGGTTTAAACTCTGCCAGCACACTTACAAACCCCCCTACACATTTATCCCCTCAGACATTGTGTGGGGGTTTTAACGGCCAAAAGTTTGGAAATTAGTGAATTTGAAATTCACTGACTTGAGATGGATATGTGGGGTTATGTGGCAGCTAAATTTTTTTCTCTTTGCATGACTGCCATCTTCCCATTTTATTTGACTTGATGAAATTGTTACCACAGACACTGGTGCCCATATTTGAAAAAAACACACAGGAAGTGGTTATTATCTACAGGATACACAGGATAGTTTCCAAATAGGTCACACAGGAGAAGAAAAGGGGAACCTAAAAAATGTGAGAACATTTCATCTGTACAAATACAGATATTACTAAATACTGGAAGGGCTTTGAAAAGATGTACTCTAATTTTCAAAGCATTTGTCAGCAAAAGTGTGAGAATTTCTGCTCTTTTCCGCCATAAGTGACGGTAAAGTATTTTTGGGTTTCACCCACATTGGTTCTGAAAATTGTGATTTATTTTTCCCACAATCTTTGGTAATATTATAGACAAAACAATTAATTAAGGAGATAATTGGGGGATTGTTTAACAATGAGTAAAGTTATCACATGCATCCTTACTCTGGACTGCAATGAGTTTCACTCCACTCCTCCTCTGGAAACTTCTGCTTCAAGATGTTGAAGTTTCTCACTTTTCTGAATTTGAATGCTCTCCGTCTCTCTTGTGTATAATTATCTTTATTCCTAACGTGCTGCAACACTCAGCATTTTTTGTGTGCGAAGGTGAAATGCTGTTTGGTTCTCACCTCAGCCAAGGAGGTTACTTTTTCGTCTGCTTTTGTTCGTTAGCAGGACTACGCAAACAGTACATTAAAATTTCCTTAAAATTTTGTGGAGTGGTGGGGCACGACCCATAGAAGAAATCATAAAATGCTGGTTTGGATCTGGATCAGGGGCCAGATCCCAGATATTTTTATCTTTTTCTTTAATATTGCGAGAAACCCAAATATCATATAAAAAGATTTGTCGGAACCACACTCACTTTTGAGTTTAAAAAAAATGTTTCTTTATACTTTCTCCCTTTTATTTTCCCGTCTTGTTCCCTCTTTCAGATCCAGGGTCCCATTGAATACATAAAGAGGGTCACAGTCACTGTTTCCTTGGTGACGAAAGACCTCCCTCACCGGCCTCATCCCCACTGCCTTGTGGGTAAAGACTGCCCGACTGGTTCAGGGATCTGTGAGGTCTCGTTCAACCCTCACAGCAACCGGCGTCACAGGTGAACATCCATCTCTTGTTTATTTTTCTCTTTACATCCTGTGTCTTAGCCATAAATTGCACATCGCAGCAGATACAATGTCCTGACACAATGTGTTTACATTTTATGCAGCTTTGCCAACCTTGGCATCCAGTGTGTGAGGAGGAAAGAACTTGACACTTCACTTCAGAAAAGAAGAAGCCAAAATATCGACCCCTTTCAAAGTGAGTGGGATTTCACACTCAAGTCTGAGACCACAAACAGTTTCTTTTTTAGCCTCAGTGGTAAAATGCACTGTGACTCCTCTTATCTGTCTCTCTCGTCTTCTCCTTCCCCAGCTGGCCACACAAAGGGCATTGAAGACCTGGACATGAACGCTGTGCGTTTGTGTTTCCAGTGCGAGCTCGAGTGGGAGGATGGCGGGAAGGACAGTCTCAGCCCTGTGGTGTCAACTACAATTTATGACAAGAGTGAGACATCGCCAAACACAAACACTTATTCACCCCAGTTTGACCAGCAGAACAAAAATTCTTTTTCCTGAATCACAGGCATTGCTGCATGTTTTATAATTTTTTTAATATTTCCTTTCACAGAGGCCACGACTACATCCCAGTTGAAGATCACTTGTTTGAACCAGTACAGAGGCTCCTGCACGGGAAAGACCGAGATCTACATGTTGTGTGACAAAGTGCAGAAAGGTGAGAGGAATTTAATTTTTATTTGTGTTCTCTATCGGTTCTGGGGAACAGAATGAGTCTCACACAGCAGAGTACATTAGACATGCTCTTCCTCAGGCCTAGAAACCATCTCTTGGAGAGATAAATGGATTTGATATGTAAAGGTAGTAAATTATATGTTTTTTCCCCATAGATTTGAAATCCTAAATATGTCCATCAATTCGTTATCGCAGTCTGCCGTCCTGCAGGAGTACAACATGTTGATGTTAAGTCTGTTTTAAATTCAGTGAACTGTCCCTTTGTCCTTCAGCTCTGAACTTCAGCTGACCTCCTTTTCATGCCCCGCCCACTCATGTGACATCACTGAGCAGCCAAACAAAGATGTCACATTGAATAACATTGAGCATCATTTGCTCAGAACAGCTCGACCACTCTCCTCCTTTTGATTTCATTATTCATTTTTTTGTTTTTTTTTGTTTAGCTCAGTGGATTCAGACTTACTTTTTTCCAGGGATCACAATCGACTGACCAACACTTGTCCTGGTGTAAACCAGCCAGTCTTTGTCTCTGGGCTCAGAGAACAACAGCGTGTGCATTCCTCCTTTGGTCGCTTCTCGTCCAGGAGCCACACGTCAGCCAAGGGGCCCCTTAGCCACAATAGATGAAGGACAATAAATATTGTTCAAAAAAGAGACCACGTCTCAACATTACATTTGACCTCAAAAACTAAACCTAATTAAAACATAACAGCTCAGCTCACTATGTTTCAGCCTCAACCAGCAACACTGTTTCATACGAGTTATACTGACGCATCAATAATAACAATCCAATAAGACACTATAAGGATATGTTACTTACAGCGGTCTGTCTGCATTATGAGTCCTTTTGCTTTTGGTGCCATCATTTTCTTTCTTCTGTAGTGTGCTGTTATTTGCTGCTACTTTTACTCAAGTAATTGAAGTGCTCTCCCTAGTTTGAGGTATTTGAGTATTTCTATTTTCTGCCAACACAATCCAGAAGGAAATATTGTACTTTTTACTCCACTATATTTGTCTGTCAGCTGTAGTTACTAGTTAATCTGCAGATTTAATTTTCACGTAAAAACATTTTAAACTAAAAAATGTTTTTACAAAAGTAGCACCTTGTCAAGTCTCCCAAGTTTCATCTGAATAACTGTACAAGGTACAAAGAGGTATTATAGGTCCAGTGTGTAAAGTTTAGGTATAAGGGATCTACTGGCAGAAATTGAATATAAAATAATCCTAGTGTTGTTTTCACTAGTGTTTCAATTTAATTGGATGAATTGTTGTTTTCTTTACCCTAGAATGGGCTCTTTATATTTAAATACTTTATATTTATACATTCTCTATGGAGGCCACCATGTTTTTTATAGTCGTCCAAACTGGACAAACTAGACTTTTGAGTTTTAATGACAACTGAAGTTCACCACGGGTTCTCTTTCATGTTTGGAAGTGGAGG